AGTGGGAAAACAAATGTATATTGTAGAGTATGGAATCAGAACAAACCAGAACGCAGAAATTTATTATTTTACCCTCCAGCGTTTGAGCGCTCACCATCTCCAGAGGTAATTGGTTCTACTGTTGTACTACTCTAACATTTAAGAAGTTTTTCTTATTATGTAGCCTAAATCTGGCTTCCTGTAGCTTCAGCCTGATATTACGTGTCTTGCATTCTGGAACTGATGTAGATGAAAAGCTGAGGCAACAGTGCAATGTGGCTGTTAAAAAAAAGCAAATACTATTTTAGAATGCAATAACAGAATTATACTCTTCAAATCTTGTGAGGTACTAGTTCCCCTCTCTTCAGCACTGGTTATGCCTCTTCTAGAGTACTGCGTAATCAGTGCTAAATAGAGGGGGACTCGTACCGCACAGAATTTGGTCCAAGAATACCTGAGTTATCCCAAGGTTAGAAACAACTGGATTACAGGACAGAGCCCTAAATGTTCCCTGCAGGAAGTACCTGAGAAAAGCAATTAATTCAATTCTGCACTCCATGAGCCATAAATGATGTGTATGTGTGAAGTATATATGCACTTCAACTCTCCCTTTCTAAAAGAATCCAATATGGAATATAGTGCTTCTTACTGAAGTGAATCCAGTGGAAAATTCTCTTTTTATAGGACACATCAATAGATTTGTGGGAAGTGAAAACTAGATAGTCAGATCCATCACAGGGTGGAAAATCGATTGTGTGTAAGAATCTTGCTGTGTTCTTTGTTTTTGCTTTTTGTTACCTAGAGTTCTAAAGCTGCTCTGATTGATTCCTCCAAATGGTTAGGAAATTTTGGTTTTATATACTAAGCAATTTAAATCCTCTGCCTCCAGAATGTATGTAAAATTTTAGTGCATTCAGGATTCGATCACAAGTTGCCTCTTATTCATTCTTGTTCGCTTACAGTGGGGTCTCTACTTAAGAACGTCTCTACTTAAGAACAATCCAACTTAAGAACAGCTCCATTTGCTAAATTTTGCTTCTACTTGAGAACAGAAATCCAAGATAAGAACAGGAAAAAAAATCTGTCCTGCTCTTTTTTTAACCTTAGGTCATCTTAGGTTAAAAAAATTTCTCCCCCTAGTGGTAGAGTACGTATTAACCAGCTTTGCATTAGTTCCTATGGGAACTAATGCTTCAATGTACGAACGGACCTCTACATAACAACAACAAAAAAAAAAACAGCCAGAACGGATTAATTGGTTTTCAGTCCATTCCTATGGGAAATTTTGCTTCAACTTAAGAACGTTTCAACTTAAGAACACCATTCCAAAACGGATTAAGTTCTTAAGTAGAGGTTCCACTGTATTTCCATTACAATAGTTATTTATTAACCTCTGCCAATCTTTCAAGTATTTTTCTTCAATCTTTATTGGGACCATCCAAAATAAAAAGTTAAGTTTAGGGATAATCTTCATTTTACATAGCTCTATTCTACCAAACCAAGACAATTTACATTTTTGATACTGATTTATCTGTTCATTAATTTTTCTTCAATTGGTCCATATTTAATTTAATTATATCTTGTAAATTCCTTGTAATATAATTTCCTGAATTATACTTTCTGTTCTTCCTTTAAATTCTTTTTTCAGTTCCTTCTTATCTGCTTCTGAATAATTTAATAAAATAGGTACATTCAGATTTCTCCCAATTCACTTTTAAACCAGTTATTTCTTCAAATAAATTTAGATGTGTTCTAATTTTCTGTAATGTTTCTTTTGGATATTTAATTATTAATAATGTATCATCTACAAACAAATTTATCATCCTGTCTAGTATCTACGCCATTCATTTAAAAATAATAGTTTCTGATTACTTTTGAGCTGGCATGTTTTTAACCAGAGGAACCAGCTCTGCTTGACAGGCACAGTAACTTTGCTGAGCAGCTACTCCTTTTGCAAAAAGAACAGTCACCTGACTGCTCTAAAGAAGGCACTAAGCAAGGGGAAAACATGGCACTACAGCTCTGGAAGCCCAGAGCCAACAAAAAGTATGACAGAAAGGAGGTGGGGGGGAAGCTATGGCAGCGATGGCAAAATGAGGAAGAGATGCTGGAGAAGCTGCTAGCAAGCCCATGATTAAGCATAGAGAGGAAGAGGGAAGAAGTTTTTGTGGTGGCCTCCTCTTTGAGGGACACTGCACTTGGCCACTTGTAATGTCCTGCTAGTTGATGTGTTCTACCACCCTTGGTTCAATCACTCTTCCCCCAAAGAACCACAAAACAATTAGGCAGCAGAGCTGTCTACTCTTTCCCTCCATATTTTGCTCATACCAAGCTTGGAGAAAAATGGATTTATGTCTATGGACACACTGAACCCAGGGCAGGATCTACCATGGGGAAGAGTGAACAGTTCAGCTCCAGCAGCAGATGCTGGGTCATGTAGAGGATGCTCCAGCAACAGCACCTCATCTAGACGACACAGCAACATATTCTTCACACCCTGCCTCACACGCCAAAGATTAGCCTCCTCTCATCTACTAAGGAGGAAGATACTGTCTTATCACCAGTACTGAAACCATTGACTCTAGGAGCCAGTCTCATTGGTACAGTGGACCCTCGACTTACAGACTTTTCGAGTTACAGACTTCTCTGGCCGCAGAATTTAGATTCGACTTGCAGCTGGAGAATCGACTTACAGACCAGAACAAAAAACAAAATGGAACAAAAATAGAATAAAAACTGCCAGTTATGGGATTAATTGGTTTTCAATGCATTGTAGGTCAATGGAGATTCGACCTACAGACTTTTCGACTTGCAGCCACTGTTCCAATACGGATTAATTCCTTAAGTAGAGGGTCCACTGTATCTGTATGTAGAATGCAAGGGTGACATCTTTGCCTTAGGAAGCAGCACGTATTGGGCCAGCCCTTCCTGAATGGTTCTTTTTTTCCAAATAGGAATTGTTAATGCATATTCTTGAGTAATCCCATTTGAATTTGGACTACTTTGGAAGAGTCCTCCTTTAATTTGAGCATCTCCCACATCAGCTCAACTCAGTTGGGTATTTGTCCATATCTGAAGTATGCCCTACTAAAAACAGGTTTGTGCTCTTTACTCAATTTTCACCACAGGGCACAAGTTCAGTATCAAGTAAAATGGCATGTTCTGATTAATGGATGCAATTAATCAGCTGCAGCTTTACTTATTCTATTGCCACCTTCACAAGAGTAAGGACAGGTAGGACATACAGATCTATCTCCTCTTTAAGCCATGAACATAAAAGGTAATTTTCCGTGGCTTGTACCCTAAAAAATAGAATTTATTATAAAAGGCAAATGTATTGTTTCCCTGTAACAAAACACACAAAGAAACATTTTTAATACAACCAATGACTGTTCATCTTTTTACAGTACTTGCTTAATTGTAAAGCCAATACAATTTACTTTAACCAAGAATATTTCGGATCCAATGAAAATGTGAAATACAAAACAACCCCTTTCTTCAGGCATTTCAAAAAAGTATTTTATCATCTCATTTATTGAGAATGAGTAATCTTACAAAAATATTGATCAACTGATAGCTGTAGCAGCAAAGTTCTTAACCTAGTGTTGCTTTATTCTATGATCCCTTCTTTATAAGCTACTGAGCTCTCCCTATTATTCCACAAATACAAATTTTGGCAGAAACTTTCAATTATATTTTTTATTTGGGGAAAGCAGTAATATTGATTACACTTGATAGCAATACTACATGAATTGTACAATTGGAAGGGATCACATGTCAACTTGCTGCCAAATCACATAATTGTTAAGAGCATCCTTGACAGGAGGCTATCAACCTGTTTAAAAACCTCCAGTGCAGGAATGTCCATCATCTTTCAAGTCAGGTTATCACAGCTCTTCATGTCAGAAACGTCTTAGCAATGTTTTGCTGAAATCTTCCTTTTGCAATTTCAACCCATTGGTTGGGGTCTTGCCCTCCATAACCACAGAAGCTTGCTCCATCTACCATGTGAGTCTTTCGCATATTTCAAGATGAATGTCATATCACCTCTTCTTCTCCAAGTTAAAGATACCCTTCAACTATTCCTTATAAAATGTGGTTTCTAGAATGTTTACAACTTAATCACCCCTTCAGGACATGTTGCAGCTTATTTTCATTCTTAAAACTGCAGTACTTGGAACTAGATGCAGTGCAACAGATTAGGTCTGATCAGTTACTTCCCTTGATGTGGACTCAGTATTTTGTTAATGCATCTAGAACTGCATTAGGTTTTTTTACTGCCACATCATAGTTGACTCATGTTAGCTTGTGCTCTACCAAGCCCCAAGATCTTTTACCTATACTACTTCCAAGCCAGTTGTTCCCTTTTCTGTATCTTTAAGTCTGATTTTTGGGGAGGTTCCCAAACATAAAATGTTACATTCTCCCTGCTAAAATTCATTTTATTAAACTCCCCTTTTCCAAGCTGTTATGGTCATCTTGAATCATGATCCTGTCTTCTGTAGCCACCATTATACATTTGGTGTGCAAATTTGATCAGCATTCACTCTGCTTCATCCAAGTCATTTTCAAATCTCCTGAATACTGGGCCCAGGACAGAGCCTGTGACATCCTTTTTGTCAATTTTTGCCATGTTTTGGAGGCTCTGCAATTCTCTGGATTGGTTAACAGGTCACCAGGGTGCCAGTTAAATCAGGGACACTTTCACAAGTGGAAGAATATAATTAGATTCAACCAAAAACCTAAACTATTCTTCAACCAAGAGTGGTACACTTTGTGTGAAAATTAGTTACCACACCATCCAACCTCAGCTTTTCAATGACTGCAAAAGACTGCATGCTTCTCCCTAGCCTTTGGGGACCCAGTGCAAAGTGGTTGTTTGATTTGTTTCAGAGAAAGCACAACATAAAGGAGTCAGGGAAGACTAAGCAAATTGTACTTGCCTAAAATGAGGTTAGGAAAGTCAACATGTTTTTGCTCCAAATATATTTGAACTCACTTATAAATGAAAAACACAAAGATACCTGGGGATAATTTTTTTAATTACATGATCAGGAAACGCCGATGTCACCCTGACTATATTCCTTCAAGCCTGATTACATAAGTTATGACATGAACAATACAGGTGTTTTAACAATCTCTGATGATCAAAGTTCTCTGGCAGACAAGATTTTTTGAAGTGTTAGATACAGTGAATGTAAAAAATAGAAAGTTTAAGAACCAATCTCATCACAGAGAGTTATTTTCTTTTGTTGGATAAAATAAATAAGGCAGCAGAGAGCCATTAGTTAGAAGTGGATTCTTTAAGGTATGCTATTAAATCTGCCCTCTCATTCTTCTTCTTTATACCAGCAAATATCATCTTAGTTCCTGGAATATACTTCTTGGGATTTTCCAAGTACTCCATCAATGTATCTTCACTCCAGATAATGCCTAAGAAATAAGATGACAATTAGAAAGCTAATGACATTTCTTATATGAAAAACTTTATACCTCTCTACTTCTATAATTCCATATTTTAGACCCAAGGAACAGATAACAAATGGCATATGACAGCAGATTTTGACAAGCAAATCAGGCAGTCAGGACAACGTTTAGTCTATTATGAAATACTAGCAGCCATCTTTAGAAGTCTGTTGCAATGTACTAGCAGCTAGCTGATTAAACCAACTGGAGACATGCCACTTTTAAAACAGATGTGGATAGATTATTCCTAGTAAAACTTGAAGGCATGACTCTAAACTTCCCATTGTTAAGAAAACTGCTTCTTTGATCCAGCTGTCTTTTCTGCCCTGATATCTATTATTTGTAACAAGCCATGCAGCCTTAGGCAGGTCCACAGACAGACAAAATTTGTGCAATGCAGAATAGTTCAGTATAACTATAATGTTAAGAACTGGTGACAAGAGTTTGCTTTTTTCCTCCTCCCTTCCTGTTGCTCTCTCCCCCCCCCCCCCCGGTTTTATTTTACATTTTGGATTTGAACACTGAAGGCAAACTATTTTGGTTTTCTTAAATTGGTCTGGAAGTTGTTAGATTTTAAGAATGGGGTAAAATGCTTTTAATAAACCAAGCCTTTGGCTAAACAGGCATTCTGTTAAATCCCTGACAATTTGCTTTTATTTTATAAAACCCATTCTAGATCTCAACAAGACAATCAGGATTTGTAAATTACATGCAACCACCAGTATTTACCTACTTCTAATCTAGCCTGTACCAGTACGTAATGGCTGGGGATACCAGTAAGACAATATTTTTTGCATGGGCTGCATTATGAAGAAACAGAAACTCAAAGCTTCTCCCAGGGAGAAGAGAAATTATTTACCAGTTAAATACAGGAAACAGGGCCTGAACTTGTGTTGGCTGAATTTAGAAAAATATGCAAGTTTTGGATGGTGTCCAACATGTAGCAGAATTTCCTGGCCACCAGAGTAGGGATCTACTCTGCTCGATATTTTAGCTCCCATCAAAGGACTTTGGTACTGTACAATCCTCCTCCATCATTATTAAATCTAAACAGTTTATTACAGAAATGTAACTCAATTAACATTAGCATGGCACTGCCATTTTACCTTTGCTTTTGTTGGCTTCTGTGTAATTGAAACCTTCTGCTTGTCCAGTCTTTCGGCCAAACAAACCATGCAGATTGGGACCGGTCTTATGTTTGCCTCCCTTTTCAACTGTGTGGCATTGTGAACACTTCTGAACAAAGATCTTCTTGCCCTTCTCAACGTCTCCCATTGTCAGTGCTGAAGGGGGGAAAGCACAGTTCTAAGTGGCCCAAGGTCAAAGAGGTTCAAGTGAGAACAAAAGGGACAAGAATAAAATTATACATAGTTCTGAAAGACTTCTTGAAAAATAAAAATATAATCACGTACAATCTACTTTAACAGATAACCACTATTATCATAGCATCAGCTATTTCTAATAGGGAAACACTGACGGAGTAAACAACCTGTCTCTGGAATTGCAAAAAATATGTGGTAAGATTTGCTCTGAAGTAAAATAACTTTCAGTGTAAGTCCCTCTTACTTTCTTATATATACATCAGTCAATCAATTCAAATTGGTTTGTAATTATATACCCAGACACATGCCCCATTTTTTAAAGGTATGGTAACACTTCAATGTCATAACACTCAAACTGATACAATTACTGGGAATAGTTGCTATCTATCATCTGTTAAGACCGTAAGTATATATATTTTGATAGCTTTAAAATACTGAGTACACATTTTAAGCACGTGTACAGTAACTTGGATAAGAGGCAAGATGTGTACAAACATCATAGTGAGGACCTCTTCTCAGTCTACTATCCCATCTAGAACACACCATCTATTCAAATAAACACAAATATGCTAAATTAGGAACAGCTATATCAGCCTTTTAAAAATCATATTAAAGTTTAAATGGCAAACACCATCTTGACCAGTTTTTGAGACTGTCCATAAGGATAGGGCAAGAAGACCAAAGATGACCTCTAACTAGCAATAGGGTGTGGATAGCATGCTGCCATCTCCATTGCACAGGCATCTCAGTCCAGACTCCTCCGCTGCTAGTTTATTTTATTCCTATATAATTATTTTTCCTGATCCTAGCCGTAAAAAAATGAGGAGCCATAAGGCTGCACAATAAGGATGGGTTTCCTCCATCTTTCACCTCCATTAATAAACGATGGAGGTAGTGATGGGGCGGCAAACGCAAGAAGGACTCCCGGTGGCCTGAAGGGCAAAAACCCAACCCGAAAGGGCCAGAAAAGGGAGAAGGGCGACGCGCCTAAGACACGTGGCATTAGGATATAAAGCAAGGTCGGAGGAAACCTGGGCCTAGCACCCACCCGAGCCCCAACCTCTAGTCCCATTTACGCCTCTTAAGGCGGCTGCTCTCCGCTGTATCCAATCGCCTCCGCTGGGCTAGCAGGAGATGCCGGCCCTTAAGCGGCCACGAATTTAAAAAACAAAACAAAACGCTGCAGGTTCTGAGGAGACAGAATAGGGAATGGGACGCAGCCTGCAAGGAGGGAAGCATGAGGGAAAGAAATTGACCCGCTTCCCTTTAACCGCCACAGTCCACGTGGAGGCCTCCGGCCGCGTCTCCTTTGCCTGGTCACCTGCCTGACCTTAAAGGGCCTTCAGGGCCGGCCGGCCTTCCTTCGCCTTGACCCTGCCGTCAACCTGCTTCCCGCCTCAGGCGAAGGGCAGCCTGTCCCGCAAGCTTTGAAGGGCTATCTTTTCGCGCCCCGTCCACTGAGCGCGTGGGCCCCGTCTCGTCCCTCACACACACTCTCTCGCCCCAGTCTCAGAAGGTCGCCCACCCACCCACACGAGCGTTTCATTACCAGGCCAAAGCAAGGAGGTCCCCAAAGGCTCCGCAATACCTCACAGAATTCCACCGACTCAGCTCAAGGGCACAGCGTACAGAGAGATATGTAACCGGTGTTTCAACAACCAAGCTTGAATCCAGGCCCCCTTCCTCGCCTACTCTGCCGATAGCCCAATCGGGCGTCACGATGGGGAGTCACGATTGGACCAGCCGGATGTCCATCAGGACTACGTAGCTCAGCAGGGTAGATTGAGGACAAGGGGACCTCTGTTGGGCCGGCTCAGGCTTTGCGAAATGACGGATGACGCACAGCGACGGCGAATGGAAGGTACGTAAGAGGTTTCCGCGCATGCCTAGAACATATGGAGCAGCAAGGTCAAGAGCGCTGGGGTGTGCGTGCTGTCCTTTCAGAAAGATCACGTGGTAGTACGTTTTTTAACTCCTCCAGGAAAAAAAAGGAAATCGGGGATTTTACCCGGTGTGTAGCTCATTCTCTTGTTGAAAGTAGGTGATACAATTGAGAGAGCAGGCAATGATGCAATCACCAAGCGATAAAAGTCGGAGTCTCTTAGTTACCTAATTTACGTAAGAAGAATTAGTTAATAAAATTGTAGGTTCTGAGGGTTATTTAAGGACAGTTTTCCTCTGGTCCTTTGGATAAAAAATTGGGAAGGGAACACCTTTGGAAATCAGATATACGCCTTGCTTAATGTATTTTGCAGGTTTCCTATTCAGGCTATAGATTCAAGGATAAGGAAAAGTGTTCTTACAGTGAAAGTCCATATGCGTGTCTAGTTAGAAGCAAGTCCCACTTAGTGGTTGTTGTGGGTTTTTCGGGCTCTTTGGCTCTGAAGATGCCGGCCACAGAGACTGGCGAAACGTTAGGAAGAAAAACCTTCAGAACACGGCCAAAGAGCCCGAAAAACCCACAACAACCATTAGATCCCGGCCGTGAAAGCCTTCGCGAATACAAGTCCCACTTAATTTGCTGAGATGAAACTCAGGACTAAATAGGTAAACCTTTGTAAACAAAACGCACAACAACCATTAGATCCCGGCTATGGAAGCCTTCGCGGCGCGAATACAAGTCCCACTTAATTCGGTGAGATGAAGCTCAGGATTAAATAGGTAAACCTTTGTAAACCAGTTCTATGTATGAAAATATTGGGTTGTGTCAGGATGGTACTGAAATGTCCCTGCTGTCAGAATCATCATATAAATATCAAAACATTTGCAGAAGTCTCCATTTGTGTCAGAAGCAATCTAGTAGTGCTTTTGGAGCAGGAAGATCATCTGACAGAACTGTCGTTGCCCAGAAGACACCCGAATGGGTTCATAGTCCTCACACTCTTCAGGGAGACTTCATAAGTATTCCCCATCCACACAAATAACATGGTTATACAGTACAAGCAGTAAAACATGATGACTTCCTGCGTATAGGATAGAGCAGTTAGACTCTTAGAAATTAATACAAAGATTTTAGACAGAGTAAGGTTATGTGTTCTCAAATGCTTTCCAATTGTGGTTGTGGGTTTTTCGGGCTGTTTGGCTGTGTTCTGGATGTTTTTCTTCCTAACATTTCTGTAGCCGACGTCTTCAGAGAACAGGAACTAAAATTCTGTCTGTCTGCTCACACTACACCAGAACACAAACAGAATTCTAACTCCTGTCCTCTGGAAATGCCAGCCGCAGAGACTGGCAAAAAGTTATGAAGAAAAACCTGTAGAACACGGCCAAACAGCCCAGAAAACCCACAACAACTATTAAAAAGCAAAAAGTGTGCTGCTTATATACTGCCCCATAGTGCTTCAAGCATTCTCTGGGCGGTTTACAAGTTAATTATGCAGGCTACACATTGCCCCCCCCCCCAGCAAACTGGGTACTCATTTTACCGACCTCGGAAGGATAGAAGGCTGAGTCAACCTTGAGCCAGCTATTCTGGAGAGAAAAAACTCTAGAACACGGCCAAACAGCCCAGAAAACGCACAACAACTATTAAGGTTATGATTTTTAAAGGGAGTGGTAAAGCCGAATTAAACGGATCCGAATTTTAGTTTAAAGTTCATGGGCATGAATCAGCTGAAGAATCTTATACATTCTCACCACAAAATGTATTTTAGTCAATGCTGTTTTACCTGGAATGAACAGACTGGACTGCTTACATAACAGTACAGCGGTTTAACCACTGCGCCACGAGGCTCTTTTGGTTATGATTTTTAAAGGTAGTGGTAAAACAGAATTAAATGAATCAGAATTTTAGTTTAAAGTTCACGGATATGAATCAGCTGCACAGAATCTTATACATTCTCACCGCAACATGTATTTTAGTCAATGCTCTTTTACCTGGAATGAACAGATTGGACTGCTTACATCCCTCTCTACAGGAAAAGCCATGTGTGCTGGTACCTCCCTGTTATGGAACTCATAAAGTCATATTGTCTCTATCCTGCTTGGTAGGTTTCAGCCCTAGTGCATATCAAGTAGACTGTTTCACAATCTTGTCATTTCACAATCTAAAAGGGTCCCTCCCCCTTTGCAGGGGAATTTGTACATACACATCAGTGGTTCCCAACCTTGGGTAACCCAGGTGTTCTTGGACTGTTATTCCCTGAAGCCTTTACCACTAGCTGTGCTGGCTGAGGTTTCTGAGAGTTGCAGTCCAAGAACAACTAGATTACCCAAGGTAGGGAAAAATTTACATAGATGCCCAACAGATTTATATCATAACTGAGTTTGCTCCATTTTTCATAATGAAATAAAAAAAGAGAACTATGAGGTTAAACATAATATGGACGCTTGGAAATGCTTTCTGCTATGCTGTTTGGATCTCTGAGGCTCAAAGGTGTTGGAACCGATAGACAAAAGGCTGCCTGCAGGAGCTGACAAGTATGTATGGATTGAAAACTGCACACACATCTGTCTTGGGTATCCTTCAGGTGTCTTGGACTTTAATGCCCATCCTGCCCGATCATTGATGTTAATAGAATGTGTAGTCTAAAATATCTAGATGGCAGCTAACTGGCTAGAGTGACTTGCTCAAACTTAAAGGGTCTGCTGTTTTCCAGTTCATCTAATTAAGCTCTTAAGGAGAAGCCCATAAAATAAAATATAGAAATCGGCAAGAACAGCTGTATGTGAAATGCCCCTGTAAAACCAAGTCTCCTGATTATAAAAAAAACAGCATGTTGCAACTGGAACATGTGGAGTGTTCCTGTTCAGGGTTCAAGTTAGTGAACCATCCTGTCTTTCACAATACGTCATTCCATCTCTTCCTCCCACCTCAACACATGTGTTCTGTGGTCTTTGAAGATGCCATTCCATATTTAGGGTTTTCAGCCCCTCCCCTTTTTTGCACTTAAGCAAATCTTGCATAAGAAAACTTAGATAATAAATTTGCTTGCTATTTTCAATGATCTTGTGTGACTACTGAGGCTTTGCATGTTCAACTGTATGCACAGATGCCAAGAGCATGCTAAGAGATGTGCACCAAGCTCCTGTATGTCTAGTAGTCATTATGATCTTCCCTTCACATGTATTTACTAAACCTACAAAGAGGGGGTTATGCCTGGTCTCATTTGATCCTTTCCTAATTGGAAATCCTGCTGTTAGAGTGGTATTGTGCAGACTGTAAACTTGCAATCTACATTTTTGGTTGTATATTTGTTGCCAGCTAACAGCTACTATAAGTCCACCATTCAGGGACAAGGGCAAAATCATGCCTATGGGGGTGGCATTAAATGCAAAGTTAGTGGTGCTAATTACCTATTACAATACTTAATATACCTCCCCCTGAGTCTTCATATGAGTTTCTAAGATCTTCAGAAGCCTGAATCCGAGTGGCTACAGATCTAGGCTTCTGATCCAAAACTGGATAGCAGAGCTACACAAAGGTAACCAGCAGATAGTTCTTTTTTTTGAGGTAAAGGAAACTGAATTTGAGGAAAGAGTGGTTCATAACAAATCAGCCAATGTAGAAGCTTTTTTCAAACTTGCAATTAATTATTGGAAGTTGGGAAACTTTGAAGATCTGGAAGTCATGCAAAGATCTACTGGTAGATTCTGATCTTCCTTTATGGCTGTGGTTGTCAACCTTTGGCCTTTCAGAGTTTTGGACTTCAGCTCACAGAATTCCTGACCATTAGCCATGTAAGCTAGGGACTTTGGGAGCTGAAATCTAAAACATGTAGAAAGCCAGAGGTTGACAGGCACTAATTTAGAAGACAGTGAACCCATACTGATGGAACGAGCCATTAACAATGAGAGCAAGGTGTAAACAAAGAGTCAGTACTGCAGCACTAGATGGAAACTTGGTGAGAGAGTTTATCACTTCTGCATCAGTGAAGGAAATGTGCATGAGTACCCTGAAATGTGTGCCTTTTGCCTTCCCTGTCATGATCCCTGAGGTCCCTTAGGCCTCCTCTCCTGAGATCATTCAGACGCCTGATGGCATCACTTTTTGAAAAAGAATCCTGGATATCCAACAGTTTTGTCTGAGGCTGAGCCACTCCACAGTTAGGAATCCATTTTGGGAAGGAGGGGAGTGTTGGAATGGCTTTGGGGTGAGAAGTTAACAAGGGATCTGGTATCTCAGCAGGCTTCTCAAAGCACAGATCTGGTGGGCCTGGTTTACTCAGGCTCACAGGATGATGCCATACGATGTATCTGTTTAAACGGGAAGGTTCCAAATCTTCATAGTAAATAGGATCTGCAGGCTTCACAGTTGGTTCTGGTTCAGGTGGAATTGCAAGCTGCCTTTGGTACAAATTCTCAGTTTTCCAAGTATCTGTAATTTTCTGAAATCTGTTCCATGGAGGTTTCTTATCTTCAGTACTTTCTTTAGGATAATCTATGTGAAGCTTAATGTGATTTGGGAGAAAATACATATTCCTTCTCCATAATCCACTTGCATTGGGATCATGCTGAAATGAACTCAGTGATGTTTTTCCACAGTTCTTAGCCCCCTCTGAATCTTTAAGTACAACTAAATGCTCCCTATAAGAACGGAGTGGAGGCCTGTGAACACCTGGGGAGTCCTGCTGTTGAGGGTCCAGGATGGGTCGCTGTCTGCCTTGAAGTGCACGGGCAATGCGACCTTCTAAAGGTCTTACTTGAGAAGTCCCTGATGGAAATGATTCTCTCTGGAAAACAAATTACGCAGCACTGATTCCTAAGCCTTTACATTTATGGTAGTCACATCTAAGGTGAGACACTACATTAAAATAATGTGTATTCCCTGTGACTAGCCTGTTTTTCCTCCCACTTACTCAGAGAAAGGTGGCCCAGCCATCTGACTTGCACTTTAAGCCCATATTTGCCTTTATGTGACCAGTCATGAAACAAGGCATGACAAATGTGTGATGTGTGGGTGAGGAAAAGCAGATGTATTTTCAAACCAATATTCTTCACCACTTGAGGGAACATGTCTTTAAAACATGAAGTTCAAATAGCAGTTAATGATGAACTGATAGTTACCAGGATCACAATAGGAAGAAAATGTTCTTCACTTACAGCAGTCCTGGTGCAAATGGCTGCTATTAATTTCATCCTCTGCTGGCTGACAATTACTGGCTGTTCCCCAAGAGTTTATTAGTGGTGTTGTAGTGATGGTGATTTAGGGATGACCAAAGATAGCCTCCATTGTGTTTAAAATACTGTATACTGTATACATATCCATTTCACTTGTACTACTTTTCTTGTTTTGTGTTGTGTTGTTACGTTTTGTTTATATACCACCTCATAAGCACAAGCACTACACTGGGTGGTTTATTCAAGATTAACAAGCTCTCAGTATCCCACAATAACAAAATATATGATTCAAAAACAATACAGGAATACAACAAACAGCAATTATAATCATAATTGTTAATGACTCTATAAAATCTAGAATTGATTTTTAAAAAAGTTGTAATGAACAGCATCCTGGAGGCTGGTTTATTAAAGGCAAATTTAAATAATTCAGTCTTTACCATCTTTCTAAATTTAAGGAGAGAAGGACCCCGGTGTGTCTCTGTTAGCATTTCATTCCAAAGACTAGGGCCACAATTGAAAAGGCACCATTCCTCATATTCACCTTTTTGGCCTCCCTCAGTGCAGCAGCTTTTAACAACTTATAACAACATAGATTGAGGGGAGTGGGTGGGACGGATAGCTGATTTCTGGGAGTTATATTCAAAGTTCTAAACCATTAAATGCTTTATAGATCATAACCAGCACCTTGAATTGAGCATGGAAACAAAACAGGGAACGAATGAAGGTCTGTCAAGACTGGGGATATATGATCAAATTTACTAGTCCTAGTAATCAGTCTGACTGCCAAATTTTGTACCTGATGAAGTTTCCATACTGTTTCCAAGGGCAGCCCTAATTAGATAACAGTACAGTAGCCTATTTTTGAGATTACCAGTGTGTGAACTATGGCTGCTAGCCATTTCTATCCATGTAGCGTACAACTGGGCAAAATGATGTTAACCAAAGGTGACGGAAGGCATTCTTAATCACAGAAGATAACTGAGCCTCCATAGAAAGTGCTGAGTCCAAGAGTACCCTGAAGCTGTGGACTCAATCCTTTATGGGCAGTGTAACCCCATCAAGACTAGGTACATTTCCTTCTAACTAGTCTAACAATCCTCCTAACAGTAGGATCTCCAAATTATCTGAATTCAGTTTTAGTTTATTGGCCCTCTCCCAGTCCATTAATAAAAAAAAACTCTTGCAAGCAGTGTTAGCATGTAAGATTGGATTACAAGTTGCTACCTGGCATACTTACAAGTTCCACATATTTGCCTAGTTCTCCAGTTACTCTGCCAATCAACTTGGCATCATAGTCGTCCAGCAGTAGGGGGTTCATAGGACCTCTACCTTAAGTAAAACAAATTTGGTACAGTTACAGAAGCTAAAGATTGAACTATGATTCACATTTTTAAAACATGTTCAAACCAGTCCTCTCTGTTTTTAAAATGCCGTACTCAACATACTTAGTTCACCTTGAACTCTAGCACTTCCAGTTGTTAAAAATTTATACCTGAGAAGTCACGTTTGTAGGTGGACAGCCAAAGGGCCTGCTTGACATTTTCTAGCATGTTGGCGGCTCTTGATGAGATGTCAAGCTCTGGAGGTTTCAAAGTGGATTTTGGAGCCCAAGCCACTGGAACCTCTGGATTATATGCCCAATCATTTCCTTCAGCAAACTGAGAAACCTGTCATTGAGGAAAAGGGATAAAAATATCAACACATGGATCCATATCAATGCCTACTGTTGCATAGTCTGGGAAATGAAGCGGTTTTGAAAATTAAATAGGAAATATAACACTCCTTACGAGGATGCAGTAAAAGGAAATGATGAGGATTTGGATTGAGAGTCTAGGTTAACTAATGCACTGTCAACACAATTTATAGTATTCCACAAGGTGCAGGAGTCTATTGTAACTACAGTAGTGATATAAGTAAGGATTGAACAGCTCCCTCTTTCTCTGTACTATGCCCTTTCTTTTTTCCTGAGCCAACTGTGTGACTCTTAGGAATGTAGGAATCTGCCTTGTAGTGTGAGTGTAGGTATTCTGCATGTCCCAGTTATAGCAGTTAACATCATTTTAGGAATCTGCCTTGTAGTGTGAGTGTAGGTATCCCATTTATATCAGTCAACATCATTTTAACTTCTGTGGCCCCATCCAGGAGTTTTCAGCTTTGGTCAATGCACAAAGTCTTTGCTAGACAGCTCTAGTACTATTGTTCTGAGGCCTGTCCTAAAGTGGTCTAGGAGACAATTATAAACACCTCACCAAACTGTAAATACCAGGATTCTGTATGACAGAGCCATAGCAGCGACATCTAACTGCTATAACAATACAGTGTAAATACTCTAGCTGGGCCTAGCAGTTGCATTTAAATCCATGTGCTTTACTACCAGGTAGCAATTCTCAAATATTATTTTTCCATGTGTAGTACCACTTAGGGATGTGATGACTCATCACAATGTTTCATAACCTTGGTGATTTTTTTAAAGTCTTGCTATGCTCTCTCAGTGAAAGTTCCTGACTTTCTGTGAAAACAGGACCTCCATTGCATTTTCCTTTGCTTTTTTAAAGCCCATTAGATTACATATGAAACTGCCACATTCCATGCAGCTTAATGCCTTTTTCAGCTGAATTATGCACAGGAAGGCTACAGTGGTACCTCAACTTGAGAATGTCCCTACGTAAGAACGATTCGAGTTAAGAACAGCTCCATCCACAAAAAGTTGCTTCGACTAGAGAACAGAGCCTCAACTTAAGAACAACAACAACAAAAAAACCCAAACCCTTTTCCTGTCCCCCCCCTTTTTTTGACCTAACTTCACTTTAGGTCAAAAGAAGAAAAACTAAAAAAAATTAATGGTAGATACGGATTAACTGTCTTCGGATTAACCGGCTTTGATTTAAGAACAGCGCCTCAATTTAAGAACAAAAAACAGCAGATACAGATTAAATGGTTTTCAATGCATTCCTATGGGAAATGGTGCTTCAATTTAAGAACGTTTCAACTTAAGAACACAGTCCTAATACAGATTAAGTTCTTAAATCGAGGTACCACTATATTGTTTTGCACAGGACTTGTAACAATATTGTGCAGCTTCAGGTTTCTTCTGTCCTTTTTTAGCGGAATACTACAAGAAAGATGGTGTTCTGTGCAGGATTTGTAACAATTGTACACAGCTTCATGTTTCTTCTACCCTCTCTAGGTCAATCCTATGCAGGAAAGATGCTATTCTGTGCAGGAATAGTAATACCCCTACACAGTTTGGCATGTCTCCCACATGTCTCCCATGAGGGAGGGAGGGAGAGAGAGAGAGAGAGAGAGAGAGAGTGAGAGTGAGAGTGAGAGTGAGAGTGAGAGAAAGAAAGAAAGAAAGAAAGAAAGAGAAAGAAAGAAAGAAAGAAAGAAAGAAAGAAAGAAAGAAAGAAAGAAAGAAAGAAAGAAAGAAAGAAAGAAAGAAAGAAAGACTCTTGAGGAAGCAGAAACATCTGTAAAATTCTGCAAGATTTTCCACAAGATTTCTCAGAGAAATCTCACTGTAAGGAGAGAAGAGTCATTTCCCCCCTCCTCCATTCCTCTCTGAGAGCAAGAAGTGATGAGATTCACATCACAAGTAGAAATTACCTACATGAAAGGCTCCATGTTCTCCAGGCCACCCTCTTGTCTGTCTATTAATATCAAAAGGTTCTCCAGCAGCTTCATTTTTAGGGGAACTACCTGTAAGATTCAGGTGGAAATATGCTGTCATATTCAGTAGGCTGAAGTTAAAACATGGTACTCTGTTGTAGCTTGAATTATCCTTTGGAGGTCATCTTAAATTTGGATTAACACAGAACTGACATTACTTGTTTTGTCATACAGTATGTGACAACTTTCAAGAGTGTTGTGAAAGAACAATTCTGTTTTTCCTGCTTTATGTGTTCAAAGAAAATTCTTATAGGTGTGTGTATGTCTCTGCCCCTACACACATTTTGCTGTCTATGTTTTTGGCACACACAGGAGATTATAATATTTGCAAAATATTCAGCTGAAGTTTTAAAACTGCCTACAAATTTTAATCTGAAACACGTTTCCATGATTCACTCAGTCAGATTGTTTTTCTGTTTTGAGCGTATTTAATAATGAGAAGCAACAGCATTGTATTTAACTGATACTTAGGTTTTTGGTTTAAACTTGTATCTGTTATATAACACTAGTCAAAGATGATCTTATGTGTTTGTATAATAATAACAACAAAAATCATCATCATATCAGAACTGCAGAGCTCGAAGGGATTGATCATCGAATCCAGTCCCTGTCAAGGAGGCACAGTGGCGAATCAAACTCCCAAACTCTGGTTCTGCAGCCAGATACCTAAACCACTTTTATAGTTAGAAGTCACTGTTCCTGTGCAATACTGAAGTGCAGCAATAAGTGGCTACAAAGATCAAGGGAGGACAATACTCAGAAATATTTTGAGTGCCTCTGAGCTACTGACTAATGGCCTCTTTTGCTTCCCCACCCACTTAGAATCAAGAAATGCAGTTTACTAGTCCTTCACCTGACAATGATTCAAATTTTACACATTTTCACTGAAATGTCTATTAAAGTTCTATCTTATGGTGCTTCATTTTTGAACTGGAGTAGAACTGGACAACTTTCAAATGGAGGAGAGCTCTGAACTAAAAACTGCTCTCTGTCCATATTTTGCAATAAAAAGTCTCCTCTGTAAAAGAGATATGTTGTTGCCTTAACCCAGGAATGCCTCAAGAGGGGCCATATGCGCTGTTCCTGAGACCATAACTTAGTCTGATAAGCTTTGCTTGGAATAGAACTTGTCCTCTAATGGTCTTTTAGAAAGCAGAAATAGAAGGTGTGAATCCGCCCACCTCTTAAAGTCAGTCTGGAATAAAGTACAGGACTGCAAAGTTCCATGGGGAAAATTCTTTTAGCCCCAATACTTACAAGCCTATATTGCTAAGGCAAGGATCACACTTCTTAGTTCAGAAATCTTATTTCATATTGTTAAAATTGGTGGTTATAGGGTAGAGACCAGCGTTTTGATTTAATTTGACCTGCTGCTTAATGTCATTAGTTCTTAATGAGTAAAAGCTTCTTACACTTCAGAAGGTTTGTCTTTTCAGTAGCATAGGAATTTGTCCTTACAACAGTCATTTGAGATGCCAATAATTCATTGATTTGTTTATTACTTTTTTTTCTCTCATTAGGGTCATCAAGAAAAAACTTTTCAAAAACCAAAATGACATCCCATAAAAGTGTTTTCTTCTCTACGGTCATTTGTGGTAAATGTTTTCACAGCACCAGTGAAGAATAATCATTGGCTAGGAATATCTGTTCATAATATGTATTGGAAGAAGGTTATTGGGGCTATTTCAGTTTAACACGAGAGCCAAAGCCTATTCCTTTGTTATCTTATTAGGCCACTGATGGACTTACATTGAAATGTGTTGGACTTATTTTGCAAAAGAATTTTAGAGAACTAGATCTCTTTGGGATTTTATTATGTGTATGTTATTTTATGCTACCCATTTTGTAAGGAAGGATCCTATACACATTCATTATTTGTTCTTCTGTTTTTGTTTGAATAGTTTTTTGTTAATCGTTTTGGGGTTCGGCGTCACCAGCATGTGGAAGGCACCCAACTCTCTCTCTCTTTGCCGTCCAAATCTGAGAAGGCTGTTCCGTCTCTAGATTGGTGTCTGGTGTCAAATCTGAGAGGGCTGTTTTGGCTCTAGATTCGTGTCTAGATCAGTGGTTTTTAACCTTTGTTACTCGGATGTTTTTGAACTGCAACTCCCAGAAACCCCAGCCAGCACAGTTGGTGGTGAAGGCTTCTGGGAGTTGTAGTCCAAAACTCCTGAGTAACCCAAGGTTAAGAACCAGTAGTCTAGATGACGGTGAATAAACTGAAGCTTAGTCCAGACAAGATTGGTCAGTCAAAGAACAGGCAAGGGAATAGGGATGCAGCCTATGCTGGATGAGAGTTGCACTCCCTCTGAAAACAAAGGTGCAGAATTTGTGGGTGGTCCTGGATGCTTCTCTGAGCCTAGATGGCCAGAAGTGCCCTTGCACAACTAAAACTAGTACATCACCTGCTCCCATTCATGGAGAGATCTGGCCACGGCGACACATGCCTGAGTTACATCTCAGCTGGATTACTCTAATGCTGTCTATGTGGGGCTGCCTATAGAAAGTGTCCAGAAAACTTCAGCGGGTCCAAAATGTGGCAGCAAGATTGCTGACTGGGACTGGTTACAAGGATCACATAACACCCCTCCTTCCAACTGCTCCACTGGCTGCTGATCTGTTTCTCAGCTGGATTCAAGGTGCCGCTAGCCTATAAAGTCCTAAACGGCTGCAGGCCCACCACTCTCAATGACTGCATTTTCCTTTATGAGCCTGCTTGGGTGTTAAGATCATCAGGAGAGGCCTTTCTCTTGGTGCTGCCACTTTCACGGACATATTTGGTGGGAACACAAGAAAGAACCTTCTCCATTGTTGTTCCCGGACTTTGGTGATCCCTCCCACAAGAGGCCGGGCTCACGCCACCTTTGCTGTCCTTCCACAAGCAGGCGAAGACCTTTCTCTTCAGGCAAGCTTTCCTGATGGCATTTTGTGCCTTCTGTTTTTCTGCTGCTTATGGATTTCCCTTCGAGCCAAGGTAGGCAAAGTATGGCCAAGGGGTTGTATGCCATCTTAGAATCAGTTTCGTAGCCTTTGGCCTCCTAGCCAACAATTTCCCTCTACTCAAGAAACCCAATGAATTGCTATTTCTGGAAGCTTTCAAAAGCTGCAGCTCATCTTTTAAATAAGTGACAGTACTTCTTTCTCCATTTAACACCAAGAAACATGCATTTTCCAAAATTGGGGGTGGATTTTTGACCAAGATACCCCCCTCCTTGTTTTGCCATTTTGAGTGATGTATGTGGCCCCTAAGGTGTTTTATTTTGTTTGTTTGTTTGTTTGTTTGTTTGTTTGTTTTTGGTGGGGGAGAAATTGACCCCCAGCCTTGTGAATGTTTCTAGTTGCTATATTAGGACACCTGGTTGGCCATAGGAGGAACAGAATGGTGGCCTAGATAAGTCTGTGGACTAAACTGAACATGGTTATTACTTAGAATAGATCCATTAAAATAGATAAGTTTCAAGTTAATTGTGCTCAACCAGTTTCATTCATTTCAGTGGGTTTAAACAGGACTGATACTGGATTTAGACATAATTTCTCTTAATGATGATGAACCTTCTTCTTATTGGGAACAATACTATTGAATTTCATACAATATTATAAGCACTTGGAAATTTCAGAAATAACACCATCAGAATTACAAAAACTGGCAGTATTAAGGACAGCATACATATTGTGCCAATACTTAACAAATACTGTACTTAGGTTTTTTGTTAATATTTTTATAATTTTGATTGACTGCAGGATATTCTTGGATACTACTACTACTACTACTACTACTACTACTACTACTACTACTACTACTACTACTACTAATAATAATAATAATAATAATAATACTAATAATGGCCAGCTTTTTTTTCTGATATAATGTGTGTCAAATCGGTTCTGACTTATGGTAACACTTTGCAGGGTATTGCAGGTAGAAGATATTCAGAAGTGGTTTTCTATTGCTTTCTTCTGGGGGTTACCTGAAACTGCATCTTTATTTTGCTCTGAGGCCAGTTTCCATTCAGTCCAGGGGAATAGTACATTTGTAGAAAGTGGGGACATTCGGAAATCCTAGGGTGCAGAGCCAGTTTAAACATTTTCCTCTGTTGCTTCCCTTTTTTTAAAAGGGTAACACTAAGCCATTAAAAAAAGGAAATACAGCATTCATCTATGCATTCTATGCTACAACAGTTTGTATAGCTGCCTTAAACTTTTGACTTTGTTGGTCTTCTGACTTCTATAACAGAGAATACTAGACATGGGCTCTTCGTATTTGTTTCTTGGGGATACAAATACGAACTGTATGTCCAATTCCCTCCCCCAGAACCAGCCAGGGCTCCACACAGTACGGCTTACCTCTGTCCTTGTTATTATGCCAATCCCGGCAGGAGCCTAGCCGGCGCATTCCTGCCTCCCCACACAATTAATTAATTACTTTATTATGGTAAAAAGACCAGTAAAACCAAAGCAATATAAAATATACATATAATTATAGTTTGGTAAAGTCAGTCAAGGTAATAAAGTTTTATACAAACATGATAAAACAATCCCTTCTTTCCAGTTAATAACATCATATTTCCTTAATATAAGTAAACTCTCAGACAGAGTTATATTAAAAACATATCCATCTAAAATCACCTACCCAAACATTGGATTACAAATAACCATTGCTGCCGCACAGAATTTGGCCACTTGTCTCGTAATATAAGGGGTATTGTCAGAGAGTAGCAGCTGGACATAATCCTCCTCTGATCTCCTAGGAGATTTACAGATAATAGGTGATGAAAGCTCCATACAAAGATCCCGATAACAAGTACAGAAAAGGAGAACATGACCAACTGATTCAACTTTATCACTATTATAAGGGCAGAGACACTCTGATGTAGGCAAACCTCGAAATCTTCCCTCCAAAAGCTTAGAAGGAAGTACATTGAGCCTAGCTAGCGCAAAAGCCCTTATGGCTTTAGATGACATAGTGCTGGCTAAATAGGAGGAGGTGATAAAAGCAGATTTCTTTAGAAAATTATATTTCCCTAACTGACCAACATGGTCCTGTGGTTCAATGTCCCATACCCTTAACTTCACTGCTTTGATGGCATTCTTGAGACCCATTGCTATAAGTATAGTAGGGGAAAAGCCAATTTTCGATACCTCTTCGGTTATATGCTTCTTCCACTCTGACTGAAAGGAATCTAGTAAGATCAGTGGGGCCTTGCCTTCCAATGCAAAAATCAGTTTAAGCCAGTATTTCACCATAAGGACTTTAGTCCGTGCTTTGATGGATATTTACCCAACCCCTAAGTGAAGAGCCACATTGGAAGTACAAGGTGGAACTCCAAGAATGGCTCTAGCGAATTTGGTCTGAACAATCTCTGGAGGTTGTAGATTAGCGTAAGCGAATAGTTGTGAGCCATAAAGCATTTGTGAAATAATCCTGACCTTAAAAATTTGTATTGCCAATGGTACATGTTTACCCCCATCAGTATGGAAAAATCTTCTTAGTGCGCCAGTATCTTCCTGGGCACTCATTGCTGCGTGTTTTACATGAGTAAGCCAGGATCCTGAAGAGTGAAAA